TCACCCTTCGAACTGTGTACACTGCAAATTGTGAATTCGAACTATGGTGTCACCAGTTCACCCAAGTAGCTACTCTGTCTGTCTGTCTGTTTTCATTTTGCACCGATGTGCAGCGGTTGAAGTCGCCACACTCCCTCTTTGTAGCACACAAAGCAAGAGAAGAAAGTAAAAGAAATGCAAAATACAGACAGCAGATGGGGATATGTTACAAAAGGAATAGTAATAACGAAGAACAATATAGTTTCATTGGAAATTATAAGTCACAAGGAATGGATTCACTTGCGCACCCTTGAAAACGAGGGTTTTGAGCCGTATTACCAATTGTCCCCAGCCGCCATTGGTTTTTACCATCCCTAAAACCCCAACCAGGAAGTCTATACCTTCCTCTGTGGCTGGCTTAAACTAACTGTTGTGGATTTCCTTGACTAACGAAGCTATGTTTTGGTTGGACCACCACTAGACATGTGTAACACATGTCTCACCATCTCAGTCGATGTAATTTCACAGCCTCGTTGATTGATTTCCCCTCCCACTTTCCATAGCACTCAACGTCTAACCTCAATACTGCTCACCTTATTATACCACTTCACACGGGAGATAGAAAGTAGGCACCTATGATCAAAGACAGCTAAACTTTTCATGTCTTGAGAGTGGAAGGGTGGAAGCTAGGTAAGGAGGGGAAATCAGTCGACGAGACTGTGAAATTAAATCGACTGAGAGGGTCAAATCAAAACATGGCACCAGTCAATAAAATCAACAACAGTTAGTCTAAGCCACGTAGGAAGATGAAGACTTCCTGGTTGGGGTCCTTGGGACGGTAAAAAACCAATGGTTGGAAACAACTGGTGATATGGCTCAAAATCGTTCTCAGTGGCTGGCGCAGATGCATCCACTTCTTGTGACTTATGACTTCCAATTAAACTGTTTTGCTCTTCGTTATTACTATTCCTTTGTCTCACACCTCTGTTTACTGTCTATATTATGCATTTCTTCTACTTTCTTCTCTTGCTTTGTGTGCTCCAAGAAGGGAGTGTGGCAACTTGAACTTCCGCACATATGTGCCAAGTTCTATGTCGAAAACAGACAGACATACAGACAAACAGGTCGACCACCAGTAAATATCATTTCATGTCTAGTAAGAAATCATGGCTAGTGAGGTACAACCAGTTGGGTGTGAGGACATATACTCGTCAATTACACCAAAATCACGAATTGGTAGAGGTTGGATTAACCGGGTCAGTTGATCGACGAGTTCTAGTGGTTGAATGGTCTACAATCTTCTCATGCAACCTGAATGTCTTGAGTTCAAACTCTGATGGATGCATGCTGTCAAAGAGACCAAAACTAGGTTCGGTTTTTACAGGGTAGCGTTGGTTGCCTCACGCTCAACCACCATTTATTTACCTGGCTACAACCTGCCTAGTGGGGTTTATGAGTACATCGGCCGAGGATGGAACCCCACCTACAACACGCGAGGCGTGGTTGGCGAGCATCTTACCGCTGAAAACCATTCCCTGATAATCCAAAGCTTTCATAACTTAACCTTATCATCAAGGCACCCATTCGATCAACTATCAATAATGTTCATATTCATTCAACCACAACATAATTTTTGTCCTTTCAGTTATACGTTTACGCATAGATTTCACTGTTTACATATATATATATATATTCACTTTAAACATTGAACATTTTCTTATTTGTTTATTTAAATCTATAGGGGAACATTTTGTCAAATGCGAATTTTAAATTGACAACAACAACAATGACAATGATCGTATTTCATTTTAAAAAGTGAACTATACTAAAAGGCTTCGTGTAATCACGCTGCGGCATTGAGTTCAACGCATGATCAACGCCTATTATCACAAACAAACAAATGAACAAGCAAAACAAAGAAAAAAATGTTTACACTTGTCAGATAATAATCTCAGGTCAAATTTTAAAAATTATATTTTGTTCTAAAATTCATAGTTAATAGTTAGAGAACCATTGAAAACCAGGGAGTAATCGGCAGCTGCTGTTTCATCCTAGTTTGGGAATCGTTGGCAGTACGCACCCACTGGGATTCGAACCCAGGACCTTTCGGTTACAAGGCAAGCTCGTATACCATCCAGCCACTGGGATCCGATTTAATGGCTAGCCCATGAATTCTAACTTCTACCAATTCGTGATTTAGCGCTACCCCAACCGTTGTCGTTGGTGGGACATGCATCCACACACGTGACATCTAATTGGACCTTACTGGTCACGACTTCTCACTAGAACTCCAGGAAACTCCATCCTGTAGCAAGTCACTAGCGAGCATCAGAGTAATTTTCTATAGTTTGGTTTGTTAGGGTTTGTTATGTTTTTATGAGTTGATCACGGACTGATATCAGTTAGGATGAAACAGTAGCTGTCCGGTACTCCCATGTTTTCAATGGTTCTCTAACTGATATCAGTTCGTGATCAACTCGTAAAAACATAACAAACCCTTACAAACCAAACTATAGAAAACATAATTAATATAAGATTTGAGCTTTCAGTGTAAATAATTTATTCTAATAGCAAGTAGTGTAGTCCTTTATCTTAGAAAGAAAAAATTTGTCCACTAATAGTGACCAAACATTTATTGCATAATCTATTGCTGGAAAGTGTTCAGTGTTTCCTTCAACCTTACTGGGGGGGTTATATTAAACAGGTAGCTGTAAAACAGTGCCACAGTGTCAATTAATCGAAAGGGAGAAAAACCCACTGAAGCTTTTGAAGTGAAGACAGGAGTAAGACAAGCTGGCTGCCTACTATCACCCACGATGATATTCCTTACTGTAGTGGACAGGATTATGCAGCACAAAGTATGTGTGAGGCGAGAAGACAGGAAAATGTTGGTACGCCGATAAGAAATTAATAAATCAATCAATAGACACCGTTATGAATGAGGTTAGGAAATCCACGGCGGACCTTATACGCCGAATGAAGCCGTTTCTACGTGAGTCTGAGTGGTTTAATTTAATGCCCAAAACTAATAACCTCAGTAGGATGTATGGTGTTGATAAAGTTCATAAGTCAGGAAACCCTATTAGACCTATAGTTGATTTTAGAAATTCACCTACTTATGAATTATCTAAATATTTAGCCATGGTATGAAATCATTATAATAAAGGGTTTTGTATTTCCCAATGAATGAAAAACAAAACGATATTGTTTTTACTGACGTTTCGCTATTTAAAGATAATAGCTTTATCAAAGTATTATTAAACCGGAATTTACAAAAATTTTTCAAACTGTTGAAAGTGAACTTGGTTTGGACATATATGGTATTAAATCCCCTTAAAAGCCACTCAAAATCTTGACTAACAAATTATTATGAACTAAAACATAGATTAGATAATTTAAAATTAGATAATGAAGAGAAAATGGTTAGTTTTGACATTGTCAGTTTATACACACGTATACCAATAAATATGGCTATAGAGGAAGTCAGAAACGAACTCATTTCTGACCAAGAACTCGAACTTAGGACAAAATTGCCACTTGAGGACATAATGCTGGGAGTACAGCTATGCTTGACTTCCACAGTATTTAAATTCCAAGGAAAAATATACAAACCAACTGAGGGAGTTGCCATGGGATCACCAATATCCCCAGTGGTAGCAGATATATTCATGGATAAGTGGGAAAGCATAGCGATTAAAACGTTCACTCCCACCTCAAAAGTATGG